CATTCTAAGGCTGGTCGTAACAATGCGGTGTTTTGGCGTGGTATTGCATCGCGGCTGATAGGGCCGCCATTTTCCAGTTTTACCCGGTGTATGAGAGTCGCAGCTCAGAGTTTCGAACGAAGGCGGGTGGAAAGGCGGGTCTAACTAAAGGGAGACTAGCTCTGAGCTAGCTGTTTTCGGTTAGCTTAGCGCTAGGTGCGCGCACAGAGGAGTGCGACGTCTGCCAAGCGACAGTTGAACCATCGCTGATTGCTAAACATCAACTAAGCCACCCAGTCCACCATGTCATCCACTCACACGCGCATCGAATGCGCGTCCGAAGATTCTAGTTGCCCTCGTCGCCTCCGCTATATAGCGCGTCCCCCGGCACCATGAAAACCCTCACATCCATCTTTTTCGCAATCGTCGCGATCGCACTTGCTATCTACAACAACGAGTACATGCTCTCACGAGTAACGAGCTCTCTTAGACACATTACTGCCTTCACAAACGTCACCAATCCATTTCGCATCCCTACCCAGAATATGTCGTCTAGCATGTTCCGCGGTCTCCCCGTCATTCCTGACGAGGCCTATACGACGAATGCGCCTCGGAAGATTGCCAAATCATTCCTCGCAGTCGAGCAATCTGAGGGTGCCGGCGCCAGAGTGAGGCGGAGCATCGGCACGCCAAAACTTCGAAATCTTTCACCTTTTTTGATGCTCGATCATTTCGCCATTCCTCCAGGTGCAGGATTCCCAGATCACCCGCATTTTGGAATGGAGACGGCCACTTATTTGCTCTCTGGAGCCGTAGATCATGAAGATTTTACTGGAAGTAAGGGCACAATCGAAGAAGGCGATTTGCAGTTTATGACCGCAGGACGCGGGATTGTACACGCAGAGATGCCCCGCCAGAACAAGGACGGTACTCCTAACGTCGGCATGCAGCTGTGGATTGATCTGCCCAAGGAGCTGAAGACATGCGAGCCAAGATATCGGGACGTTCGTGCCAAAGAGATACCTCAGGCAACCGGAGACGACGGCAGGGTGAAAGTCAAGGTCATTAGTGGCCAGGCTTATGGCGTAGAGAGTCTCAAGGAGCTGGCCTACACACCCGTCTGGTATTTGGACTTTACTGTACAGCCTGGTGGAAAAGTCAAGCAACCACTACCCAAAGGCTGGAACGCATTTGCCTACGTACTCGACGGCACAATCATAGTTTCATCCGACGGCGTTTCACGACCCATCGAACAATACCACAATGTCGTCTTTGAGAGCAGTGGCGACAGTGTCGAAATATCAGTCGAGGAGAGTGCCGAGAAAGAATCAAGATTTGTGCTGATTGCTGGGTTGCCATTGGATCAACCAGTTGTACAATATGGCCCGTTCGTGGTAAACTCGAGAGACCAGGTAATGGAGGTTATGATGAACTACCAAACTCACTCTAATGGGTTTGAGAGAGCAGAGAATTGGGAAAGCGAAATTGGGAAAACCATGGTACATTAAGTGGCGGTCGCAGCCTTGGAGGCTTTTTGTATATACCCTTTTAAGTAGCTTTGCTTGTTTTGTAGCATTTCAAATTAACTTCCTTTAAACATATCTTAAGGGGTTTCCCATTGATTGTAAGTCCAGGTTATACTTACGATCGTTCCATGTAGGTATTCGAAATAGAATAGAATACGCGAAAAGCATTTGCTGAAGTACCTGAACTTCCAAAGTATTTCGCACTGGAATAAGTCTCGCACAAAACTACCTAGAATCAAATGCAAGCAAACAATTTAAAACATGTTCTTTACTAAATCCGAATCCCATCTTAAAATGTCAATATATCTCATGTGAGCATTCAACTTATAGTGAAAGCACTCAACAAACAAAGAAAATGATGGAAACGTAACATTGGATCAACAGAAAGTCACAGCTCCCATGCAAGAACACCAGGAACCAGAAGCTGGAATAACAAAGAACGTTCAAGGAACAGGAAGCTGGGAACATCAAATTTTCATACCATGGCATGTGGTTAAGAGAAAAGCCTGATGCGACTGTTGCACCATGCATCACGGCCTACATTTTCTACATTCATTTACAACTGCCCACTTTAACCGTAGTCGTATGTTCAGATTGTACTTTTTCACTTGTTATTATCAAATTCCAAGCAGCAACATGCGAAACTGAAGCGGGAACTTGTTACAACGAGACGCAGCGGTGTTTTCAGCACGATTAGTTACTATTCTCATATGAGAACGACACCGATTCAATTATGGAAGAGCTCAGGATAATAAGTAGCGTAGCATCTCGGATATTGCGTTTCTTCGTAAACTGGCAGCTCTGGGCGCGGCCCGCTGTACTTTTCGGAGATTAGGTATAAGGGACTTGGTACGTGAGATGTTAATTTGGTAGATAATGGAATACATACTTCCAGCTACTTCAACGCCGCGATTCAGTAGTTTTAGAGATAGAAATGGTCATGTATGTTCTTGGGTTCGTTGTTAGTTTGGCCGCAGAATACTAAGTTGTTTGGATCTATGTAGGGTTCTATAAGAGAACTTATACGAGCATCTGTAATTCTAGCAAGTTTAGAGGAACGGAAAGCTCCTGTTGACATTAACTTGATTGATCCTAGTATTGCATTACCGCGATGTGTGCAATAGAAGTAGCCTAGATGTATAGCTACTGATTTCATAAGTATAGCTCGGAATATTCAGATTAAAAGTACGAATGGAGGCAATCTCAGCAGCCAGTATTTATCTGCGCGACCGCATGAAATATCGGGGCAAAGTGATGGTGTGCGGACAACTAGATTTGTGGCTAAGACCATGAAGTAGGCATAACTCTAGTAGGAGCCAAGAAGTCGTACATTCCAACTTTTTGCTTGTCATCAAATTTCTGGATTTTTTTTTTCAAATCTAATCAAGGCAATAGATAAACATTGCTTTGATAAGGAATCAAGGTTCGCTCCACACACACACACAACGGGTAGTTCTAACGATCTTATTAGCTGTAAACTGTTCCGCTATCTCTTTTCTTTTTTTTCGACGTGTGGTTCCTTACTCATGGTGTAAAATTCGCAAACAAGTATCGCAATGGGAAGTAGAACCCTTTACCTGTTTTTTCCACACTCAATTCCTGCTTACCCCGCAACCTTGCTCCCCCCGGCCATATTTCGCCGCCTTGCACCGCCCCATCCTACCTTACCCGAGCTCCGTTTGTGGCTGCATAACCTTCTGCACGCAATCCCTCCAGGGCCGAACACCCGAGAATCGATTGGTTCTCATTTCTCACAGTTCCGAGCTTCCCTGTTGTCTGTTGGTTGATTAATCTGTGGCTTCTAACTGCAGTAGCGCGTGCAGTTCCGTTTTAAGATTGGTTGGACGACGTGAGATGCAAAGTGGTGTGTTGCAATGTTTCTCGGAGTGGGATTGAACTAGTAGTGAAATTGGTGCCTGGATTCTAGAGCTGCAGGGAAGGGTCTTGGATGCTTTGCTGGAGGGTTGCTGAGTTGTGGGGATGTGTTAGGCGCCCTGCTGGCTTGGATGAGAAGGAATAACAATGTTACCTTGGTTGTATGCCATTACTGCAAGGCATATCATCTTGCAGATCGATGCAAGAGCAAGTGCTGACTGACTAGCAGCATCAGCAAGGCAGATGTGAGATATAATGCGCGCGAACTTCGAGGGAGGTGGGAAGCTGGGATTTGCTTCGTTTTTTTGACGCCGCTGATAATATTGTGTGAGATGATAGAAAGAGCCATGGATTCAAGATATTTCCACTTTGGTTTTCGAGGGCTGACAGCCCATCCGACGATGATCTGCCACCGAGAACCGTACCCTGCACTTGAAGCAGTACAGCGCAGCGCAGCTGGGAAATACGTTCTCATCACCAATGCTTCGCACGGAATTGGCCGAGCAATCGCAATCTCATGGGCAGGAGCAAACGCCGCAGGGATCGCAATGAGCAGCCTCAACACAGAGGATCTCGAACCTGTCACCTCGGAAATCAGATGCATCAACCCCAACATCCCGATTGTCGCCATGACGTGTGATACCGCAAGTTCATTTGATATAAACGACTTCTTCTCCGCTACAAAGGAAAGCTTTGGTAAACTGGATGTAGCAATCGCGAATGTTGGTACTGCACATCTTGAGAACCTGGATGCAATCAACGACAACGACTTGTGGTGGGCCGATGTCATGACCAACTTTCGCAGTACACATCTCACTGCCCACCAATACCTGCGCACATTCGGTCCATCGCCGACTGGTACATTCATTTCAATAACATCGGGCGCGAACTTCTACGTTGGTCCAGGGGTCTCTTCCCATGAGTTCGCCCAACAGATCGACTGCCGACTTCTAGACTTTCTGACCTTTGAGTATCCAATGATGAAGGCGTTTTCGCTGGACTCAGGGCCAATACAGGTGAGGTGGACAAGGCTCGCACATGGCCATTTCGAGATTGGTGATCCGGAGTTGGCCGGCTTATTTTCTGTTTGGTTGGGTGGCGGCCGAGCGGATCTATTGAGGGGCAATAGTTTGCGTGCTGAATGGGATATTAATGAGCTTGAGCTTAATATGCGACAAGCGTTGGAGAGGGATACCTTGAAGCAGAAAATGTCCAGCGGTTGTTTGCGACTGGCGACGAGGCAAGTTTAGTAGGGGCCTTCGCACACAGCCTGTTGAACATGAACCAGAAAACTTTGTTCGATTCCTGTATCACCTCTTTGAACAGTCGGCATCGTAAGATATAGCGTCGAAACCGATGCGAATCTGGATCAGATGAATATGATGATCACCTATCTAGCCATGCAAAGTTGTCGTACCCAGATTACTGTGTGCGAACCCTACTAATGTCCTTTGATTTCTGACAACCATGGAATGCGTCGCTGCTTCTGGTCCCATAGTGTGCCTGCAGCACCTTGATCCCATATCCACTCGTCGGATGTATTTCCAAAACCTGGTGGCGTATAGGCTTCCCATATCCGCACCGTGTCATTTGATTCTCGGTCGCGTATCGCGACCAGTGTTCTATCAAATGTAACCATGTCAACAAGAATGATGTCTATACTTTTCCCCTCGTACAAATCGAAGAAGGTGTCAATATGTTTGTCTATCCTTCCATCTGGCCACAAGAGCACCAATGATTCGAGTGATGGCAAAGAACGATAGAAGGTCTATTCTGCATCTCTGAAATGATCAGTAACTATGGCAAGTCGTTTAATATTCGGTGGCGGGTTGGGGAAATGGCGAACAATGTCGCAGGAGAGGATTAATTCCTCCAGAAGCAACATGTTTGAGTAAACGTTTGGATCAATGATGTCCGAACCTTGGCTATCTGTAACATCCCAATTGAATCCGAACCGACTCAGGTTGAGATGAAGTCTTTTCAAGTTAGGCCCAATAGTGTTGAATAGGTTGATGATTGCCGGTAGTCTGATAGAGGATGCCCAATCATCCCCCCACGGGTTTTTTGTCGGTATGGGTGATATGTGCATCGACATAATGTATCGCGAGAAAGTAGGTTTGGGGGGTCTTCTGGTCTCTTGTACAGTGGCTTGATGCTGATGATCCAGTCCTAATGTCGTGCAAAAGCGGCCCAAGACCCTTGGACAATCCAGCCACACGCAATTTGAGTAAAGATACTCAGTAGCTATCGGGTGAACACTGCGCGAGACTAGCGTGAGAGAGTGCAGTGTCTTGGTAATTTTGTCGAATCGTGAGCGTGCCACAGGGTGGTGATTGTTACACGTTTCCACGAGCTGATCCAAGATGTTGAGAAGCAGCTCAGGAGGAAGAGGTCCAAATGCCTGAGCTTGAGTTGTTGTTGGTGTTCCGTTGAGCATGATTGTTGTGTCTACTGAGCGGGTGGTTGGGGATGTGAAATAGGCAGACACTGCGCACGAGTAGTAACTGCTGTGCGGGGTCTGGCTTACGTACTTACTACTACATTCCTACTAACGGTACGAGGTGGGAACGACCTATCATCTTACCGAGACCCTAGGATCTTCATGAAACTTGACCTGGCTCCATCTCAACATCTGACTTCAATTATCTTCATTTTGAACATCTCACAGCCTAGATTTGGTCTTTTTGGCAGCTGAGTAGGACCGAAAAGACATGGTTGTTTACAAGGCAAGGACCGGGCCGATATCGACCTTGCTGTTGCAGGTAAGTCTTGTTGGATAATGGATTCATTGGCTAACTAAGGTAGTTAGAGCGCGAGTATATATAGGTGAGAATATTAGGTAGCTGGTACCCAGCCACCCCACAAGTCTTTCCTTCACCTTTAACGTTTCAC